GAAAAATTCCTGGCATGCCCTAAGCAGATCCACTTTGATTATGTTCCAGCATTCTTTGAAGAATCTTCCATTAAACCCATCCGGACCAGCTGCAGCATCTGGATTAAGGGACCATATTGCTTCCCTAACTTCCTCTACTTCAGGTAGCCTCCTCATAAAATTGTTGTCTTGTTCTGTGATGGTGGTGGGAATGTATGTGGTAATACTTTCTGGATTTGAAATGGCATGATCAGCAAAGAGATTGGTGAAGTGTTCTACTGCCAGGTTACCAATTTGATCTTCATTGTCATGATTGATCCCCATGTCATCCCTTATGGTGGATATTTTAAGTTTTGCTCTCCTCCCTTTGACATATGAATGGAAGAATTTCGTGTTGGAGTCCCCCTCTTTCAGCCAGGAGATGTTGGCCTTTTGTTCCCAGAAAATTCTTTCCACATTACAAGCCTGGAGGAGTTTAGCAGCAGCAAGGTTTGATTCACATCTCAGTTCTTCCGTGGGATCCTCCTCATATTTGACTTGTTTTTCAGCAGCCACTAGTTCAGCTTTTTTAACATTAAGGAAAATGTCTCCAAAGATCTCCTTATTCCATTCCCTTATTATTGGTTTGAGTTGCTTAAGTTTTTCAGCGAAGCCCATCATACCACTTACATTACTGCTGTTATGCCAATACTTCTTGATCATGGGCAGGAATTCTTTGTGGGTTAGCCAAGCATTGGTGAATCTGAAATTTTTTGGGCCATCAAACTTGGGATTTGAGCATTTAAGTAAGATTGGCTTATGATCTGAGCCACTTTTGCTTAAATGAGTAAGTGTAACCTCCTCATAAGCTTCCAAGACTCTAGGATTAACCACAACTCTATCTAGCCTGCACCAAACCATTCCTTGCGTTCTACGCCCATTCCAAGTGTACAGACCACCACTTGGAGTGATGTTGCTAAGCTCACAGATTTGAAGAGCCTGAGAGAAGTCCTCTATCCCCTTAGAGCTGGGGGGGATTCTCCCTTTGTGTTCAGTCATAGATGCCACCACGTTGAAATCTCCACCAACAAACCATGGAAGGCCCTTAGGCATGTGAGACCTCATTGATGCCCAGAGTTCTTCCCTTTCTCCTTCAGTGTGTTTCCCGTATACCGTAGAGATCATGAACTTTGTATTTGTGCTTGTGTCACTGAATATAATACTAACAATTTGATCACCCTGTATTTGTGCCTCACAAAGGAGGTTACTATCATTCCAAAAAAGCCAGACTTTGTTCTTTAGCGCACTAGAGTGGCAGTTGAAACCAAGCTTAGTGGCATACAAATTTATTTTATCTTCTTTTACAAAAGGTTCTAAAACAGCAAGGAAATTAACCCGGTGAGATCGAGTGAGAGAGTGAAGCCTGGGTAATGAGCTTCGAACTCCCCTGATGTTCCAGAATAATAGGTTCATGGATCACCCATGTTAAGGGGATCTAGAGCTGCTTTCATGCCCCTAGTCTGGCATGAGAGTGGAATGACATTAGCTTTAGCACTTCCTCCTCTAGAGATGATATGTGCATTGCTTGTGTGCTTAGGAGTAGCCAAGAGAATAGGTACCAAAGGGGAGGTGTCCAAAATCTCCTGTCCATCATTTTCAGAATGAGTGCAAGTATCTGTGATATCTTCAAGGTTTGGTTGCTTATGGCCCAAAACATTTTGAAGAAAATCATCAGTGGCCCGAAATTGTTTTAGTACCTGGGTGTCATCCTTGCTTCCTTTTAAGAGGTTATGTCTTGATTTTGCTTCCACTTGTGAAGAAGTGACTATATTACTGCCAGGGAGGCTTGGTTCTTGGTGTGGGCTCTCCCTAATTGGACTAAAGTGATTGGATCTTTCTTTATGGCCCAATGTGCTGCTGTGAGGATGCTGAACTGGCACATGAGTAAGAGTGCCTTGGNTGAAGGAATTCACCTGTTCTAATCTTTATATTTTTAGGGAGCTGGGAGGATAAATCAATCTCAATAAGGACCCTGGCAGTATTGAGATATTCAGCTTGATAAGTTCGGGCATCCATCTTGATAGGGTTTCCGATCAGTTGTGAGATGGAAAGAAGGGCCCTAGGATCTTGAAGATGTATTGGTATCTTCTTGATGGTAACCCAAATGGGAAGTTTTGGATTATCAATAGATTGGAGATAGTGAGGAGTCCATTTTGAGAGGTAGAGCCGACACCCATTTACTAACCATGTACGCCGATAAAGAAGCCTGTAGAAGTCTTCTTCGTCCAGGAAGTTAATGAGAACTTGTGATTGGGTTAGAGAGCTGACCTTAAAGCCTCCAAATCTGGCCCGTTGCAGACTATCTCCTATTTCATGGTTTGGAACTGGTTTTGCCATCCTTCCAATTACACCATATTTGAACTTGCTGGACAGCTCAAGGATTTCATCATGGGAGAAAGTAAGCACAGGACCTGCTGCCCCCTCATTCTTGATTTGCCCAAGGAAGCTTTCTTTTACCACTTCGGAGAAGAGGCGTGGCCTGGCGTTAGATGTTTCCGGCCGCCGATGGTGGTTGCCGGCCGGAGGGTTTCTCTCTCTAGAACCCATCTCTGAAGGTTATATATATATATATATATTTTATATATATATATATATATATATATATACATATATATATATATATATATATATATTTTATATATATATATATATATATATATAGGGTGAGAGCGCTGGTGAAGCCTACTAAGCCTGCTACCAAAAAACTTTTTTCAGAGTTATTCAAACATAAGGCGGCGGAATCTCCTGGTCCTCTTGGGAAACTTGAAAGTGTAATAGCACACCCTCAGCATCATTCACTTCGGATGAAGAACTCATACTCTCAAAGAAACTCAAACTAGCTCTAGTTGGTAGAGCTGCCAGTTTCGTCCATCTTGACCAGGTAAAATAGTCCCTTGAAGCTTTGGGTTTCAATGGTGGGTTACGTTCCGTTTAAGAAAATTGCCAGGCCATCACATTCTTTTCATTTTCCACTCGGAACAAGATTGTCTAAGATTTTTCCTTAGAAGGTCTTGGATTGTTCATAATGTGTTTATCTATGTTTTCAAATGGTCCCTGGATTATAGCCCCTCTAAAGATTGTGCTATTATTCCTCTTTGGGTTACCTTTTACAATATCCCCACCCACCTTATTGTCTTATTGATCATAGATCCCTATTTACTATTGCCTCTACTATTGTTCGTCCTCTGCAAATTGATAGCAAAACAGAACTTCTTATCTCCCTAGATAAGGCTAGAGTATGCGTTGAGTTGGATGTCTCTAAACCTTTAAGTCCTTCAGTTCATGTTCGTATTGGGCCTACTGATTACTTTCTCAGTTGCTCCTATGAGAAAGTCCCTTCCTTTTGTTCTTCTTGTTCTTTGCTGGGGCACTCTAATAGGGACTGTAAAACTTGGATTAATCCTGGTTTAAATAGCAAGATTAAGGGTACAGATCTAATTAATGGTTATGATGGCTGGACATTGGTCTCTAAAAAATCCAAGAGGTGCCAGGCTATACATAACTAGACAGGGAAAATCGGACAAAATCTCAGTGCGCTTCATGCTACTTAGAGGGGCCAGTTTTTACCTCTCAATAAGGCAGGTCCTCGTGTGGATGATGGCTGGATATTAGATGCTTTTCCTAAGAAGTGCCAGGCTACACAACCACACACTTTCAGCAGTAGGGTCATGGATGATGGCTGGACATTGGGTTTGGACAAACCCAAGAGGGGCCAGGCGACACATCCTAAACCTACTCTTGTCTGGAAACCTATTCAGAAGAACATTAAAATTGCAACAGCTACACTACAAAGTTCTAGCAAAGTACTCGGTGAGATTAAGGAAAATGTTGATAATTTCTCTTTCCTTTCTACCCCTTTGGGTAAAAAGTCAGACCTTCTAGATGCAGATAACAGTAATAACAGTAGCAACACCATTCAAAAGTGGGGACTTCAATCTATATTGCGTGTATGAGATCACTTCCCTTCCTTCTCTGCTGCTAAAGTTTTTGCCTCCAATCTTTTCTGCCATCATCAACACAATCAGTTTGATAATCCCACTGGGTGCTCTACTTCTGAGCATAATATGGATCTGGGTGAACATCCACAGTGCCAAGGTCCTGAGCTTTTTGTGTTGGGAAGGTGGCAGATGATGATTCTGAACATCAAGATCTTATGCAAGAGGTTTTTTGCCACTCTGATGGTGATGATGAGTATAATTTAAGGAACAAGGACGTTGTTCTGCCCTTTGAAATCTCCAATCCCCTTGCCTCTCATCAACGCCTCCTCCTTACAAAACCTGTAAAGAAAAAGAAATCAATTCCTGAAAGAACTATCATGACAAGAAGCAGGGTGAAATTCAATGACGGAAACACAAAAAAGTTTTTATGATCTGCTTATTTTGGAATGCCTGTGGGATCGCCTCTTCCCTTAAGAGGCTAATTACCATTTGTATATCCCACTCTCCTACGTTTGTTGCTATTATAGAACCTATTGTGGCTGACTCTAATACATGATTAAACTGGGCTTCTCTTCTTTCAAATCATGCCTCAACAACAAAATCTGGATTTTTTGGGACAATAGCTTGCTGGTTTTTCAGGATAGCTTGGAAGGCAATTAGTTGATCTCCTATAAATTCCTCCTCCCTCCCTCTAATTCCTTCCTCACTATCTCCACCATTTATGGGAAACATACTGCCTTGGACAGAAAGGACTTATGGACAGACATGATCAACACCTCTCAAATTGACCATCCTTGGATTGTGGGGGGAGATTTCAATTGTATCTCTTGCCTTTCGGAGCATAAGGGGCTTACCTCACCATCCTTAGCTGATTTGGAGGATTTCAGACTTTGTATTGATGTTTGTGGTCTGATTGAACCCCCTTTCTCTGGTGGGTTATTTACCTGGACAGGAGGGAGAAGTAATGGAAGGCTTTGGAGGAGATTAGACAGAGTTCTTGTCAATACCCACTCCATGAATTTCTACTCTAATCTCTCAGTCATACACTTGAGCAAAACCACCTCTGACCACAAACCTCTACTGCTGAAATGCATGCAAGAATCCTTTTAGGGGCCCAAACCTTTCAAATTTCTCAACCTATGGGCTAACCACCTTTCCTTCCTAAGTGTGGTTAAAACTTACTGGGAAAACAATGATAACTATGGAGGCAAGAGTGGGCTGGCTCACAAACTTAAGGGCCTAAAAGCTGCCTCAAAGAATGGAGTTTCTCTACCTATGGCAACATGTTCGATGCTATTAAGGAGGCTGAGTTTCAGGCTGCTAAGGCACAAGAGGCTTATGAAGAGAATCCCAATGACCTAACCAGAGAGGCCTCTTCTCTACCCTCAGCAATCCTCTTAGCCAAGACCAAGGATGAGCTTTCTTTTTGGAGTCAGAAGGCAAACATACAATGGATGGATAAGGGTGATCACAACACCAAATTTTTCCACTCCTATGCTAAGGGAAAAAGAGCTAAACTGACTATCACAACTATCAAGGATGACACAGGCACTCATAATACAAAGGATTCTATTGGCAATGCTGCAAACGCTTACTTGAGTGAGGTGTTTGGTGTCTCAAACATCACAGATGCACACATTTTGGAAGATTTCATCCCCAAAATTATTGATTAAGAAAAGAACAGATTCATCACTGATATGCCCACAAAAGCTGAAATCAAAAGTGCTATTTGGGCCCTCAATCCCAACAGTGCTACTGGTCCAGATGGCTATAATGGTTGTTTCTTTGGAAATACTTGGCATATTATTAAAGACGATCTTATTAGGGCAACACAAGAATTCTTCATTGGGTTTCCTGTCCCTAAGGCCTATGGCAGTACCTTTGTTACCTCAATTTCAAAGACTGATAATCCCAAATCCTTTGGGGATTACATGCCTATATCACTATCTACTTTTATGAGTAAAATAAACACCTGAATCCTTGCAACTAGGCTGGGTAAGCTACTACCTAACCTTATCTCCCAAGAGCAAGATGGTTTTCAACAAAACAAAGGAATTGATGACCAGATCCTACTAGCTACAGAAATGGTTAACCTGATTGACAAAGATGCAAGAGGAGGTAACTGTATTGTTAAACTAGATATGGCTAAAGCTTTTGACAAGATGGAGTGGTCCTGCCTTGACCGTATTCTCACTTGTTTTGGTTTCAACAACTTAGCCAAGAACCTTCTCCTTGCTATCC